TATACTCATGGAGGTGGTGGTGGTGGTTATATGCCATGGAGTCGGCTCCAACTCATAGCGACCCTGTACAGGGTTTCTGAGGCTATAAATCTTTACGGGAGCAGAAAGCCTTATCACTTTTCCACAGAACAGCTGGTAGTTTTGAGCTGCTGGACCTTGAAGCTTGCAGCCCTATTCGTAACCACTACACTACCAGAGCTCCTTAGACTCATGGAGGTAGTCACTCTAAATACCAACAGAACGGGAAGGAGTCTTCACGTCAAGTATCAATGCTATACTCTCTGTACACAGGGTAAATAGGGATGGACAATTCAGACATTGGCTACCCAAAATGAGAGGGCAATAAAGGCATGAAGTGACTGGCTTACAAGGTTTCAAGGGGGAGTTTAGTTTAATAGTGTGTGTGGGGAAAAGAGTCCCACTGAATAGTTTTCATCTTGTCTAGATGGGTCTGGTTAAAAGAGATGGGGATAAGATTTTTATGACTCAATCAATAGTAATTGTTATCATGACTAATTGCAACTGTCACAATTGTAAAGGTAGAAGTTTTGTAACAAAAACAGGGGAGTAGTTAATCTTACAGTCCAGAAACAAAGGATCCTAGTACCATCAAGGGAGAAGAACTCAAATGGAATGCGAGACCTTATCCAAAGAAGTAGCGATCCCAGAGATGGAGGCAGAGATGGGGACATGGAGGAGTGTTTAAAAAAAAAAGAGCTAAAGTGAATAGAGAGAAATACTGCTAACTGATGGTACACGGAGGGGGTTATAATCATTGTAATGAAACAAGGTGTATGATTTGTTGAATATAGAACTGATAATCTGCCCTGTAAACTTTCACTCACGCCACAATAAAAACCTTAAAATAATAATAATAAAATAAAAGGAAGCTTTGTAGTCCATATCAAAAAGTCAAAAAAATTAAATAATGCCAACTACTTTCTATGCTATGAAAACTAAATATGCAGGATTCAAAAATTTCATGGAAAATATCCCATATTTTTATTCCATTCTCCATGAACTTTTTGAAGTACCCTTGTGTGTGTGAACCCTGATGGGGTGGTAGATTACACACTAAGCCACTAACCAAAAGGTCAGCAGTTCAAACCCATCAGCAGCCCCCTAGAAAAAAGATACAGCTGTTTCCATAAAGATTTATGGCTTAGAAACAAAATGGGACACTTTTACTCATCCTGAGGGGTCAGTCTGCGTCCGATTCTACTCAACAGCAGCGGGTTTAGTTAGGTTTGGGGATATAGGTATTTTGTCGCTAGGTGTCACCGAGTTGATTATGACAGAATAGAACTGTCCCACAGGACTTCCCAGGGGAGCACAGTGGCTCTGAAGGATAAGCGCTGTACTGCATGCCACAAGGCATTGGTTTGAGCCCAGCAGTTGCTCCTCAGGAAAAAAAAAAAATGAGGCTTTCTGCTCCTGCAAAGATTTACAGCCTCTGAAACTCTCTACAGGGTCACTATGAATTGAATGCAACTCGAAGGCATTTAACAACAACATCGGACTTTCCAAGGAGCACTGGTGTCTCTGTGAGTTAAGTGTTGAGTTGCTAACCACAAGGTTGGAGATTCAAACCCACCAGCTGCTTCTAAAGAAAGATGAGGTTTTCTGTTTCCATCAAGATTTTCCGTTTCAGAAATCCTGTGTAGGGCAACTATGAGCCAGAATGGACTCGATGGCAGTAGGTTTGGTATAGGGTTTTCCAGACTGCCATCTTTATAGGAAGAGGTGGCCTCATTAGAGCTGCTCAAAAGGTTTGAACCTCCAACCTTTTGGTTAGCAGCCAAGTGTTTAACCATTGTGTCACCAGGGAGACATATATACACACATACATGAGAGTATCTCAGAAAGTATTTCTAGTAGGTTCCAATATGCCAGGTTTATCCCCCACAAAACATGATTAAGCATGTTTCTATGGTTGATGCATGGCTGCAGACAGGGTCTCTCAGTAATACACTTGTCATCATCTCGTTAGAGTGCCTTCAACTGGGCCAATTCATTCCAGGCAGAAAGGTCAGTTTATTAGTTTATGGAGACTGCTTTTTGGAATTCTAAAGGGGTATTACTGATCAGTTTTCTTGAAGGACACAGAACTATCACAGGGGCTTATTATGAAGTTTTAGGAAAATGGAAATCTGCATTGGTGACAAAAAGTTCAAAAAAGTTGCACCAAGGAATCCCCCCCCCCACATCATAATTCACCTGTTTATTCTACAAGGGAAGTAGGACTGTCCTACTTGAACATAATTGGGGAACCCTAACCCATCCATCCTACAGCTCCAACCTTGTCATATCAAAATTCTTTTTGTTCCCCAAACTCTGAGATTATTGAAAAAAAAAATACAATTTGAGTCCCTCAAGAATGTCAACCTGTTGTTTTGATACCACATAAATTCAAGAGCACAGAATTCTTCAGGAAAGAGATGGAGCCACCACCATCAGTATGCAGACCTAGATAAAGAATATGTTGAGTAACAAAAGCTTCACAGTTTGATATATCGGTTTAATACAGGTTTCTATGATTTTCTAGCAATACTTTTTGGCTTACCTTTGTGCGTATGTGTATGCATACATATACTCATACATATACAATTATGCAGTGATATCCAGGGGATAAAAGTGCTTATAGTCTGATATCATTTATGAAAGAAGAATTTATATAAGTAGATGTTTAAGCCATAATTAAAAAAAATAATTCACCAAGAAGGGAGGGAGAGTAAGCAAAGAGAACAGAGTATAGAGGATGTGGAATAAAAGTGAGCTATCTAGGATATACTTTTCTATTCTTGACTTTGATAATTTGACTTTAAACTATGTATGAATTTCCATTATTATAAAAACAAACTGATTTTAAAAATCCCTAAATTGAAAGCAAAGTGATGCAAATGGGCTTTAGTTTTCCATGAGTTTCTAGCACAGCCCCACAGAAGGGAACTTTACCAAGTGATTTAGAAAGGAAGAACTTGATGCCACAAGCTTGTAAACCTGTGGAAGGATCTTCAACTATTTTCTGTAATCATATTGGTACT